TTTCTTGGTTATTCCTTTAAGTTTCAGAATGGCTGATTCTTGGGGGACAGTGACTTGTTCTGTCCCTGGTGTGCCCATGATTGCTCCAAACCATCCCACTGAGACTCTCTCAGGCCCCTCCAGTGCCTGGACTTAACTCCTGCAGGCTGCACTGCTCTCTAGCTGTGCCCAAGCCTTGGCGTAGTGGCCTGAGATATGGTCTGGTGCTCCCAGGGAAGTGCAGGAGCAGCAGGCCTGCCAGATTGATGCCAGCAGCTGGTGCTTGGGTGCTGACTGACACTTGCTCTGAAAACATGTTTCCTTCTTGAACCACTTGATCCTAATCCTGTTGTACTCTAAGAAAATAGCTTCTTTATATGTGTATTATAACAAAACCTGAAACATGGCTTATGCATGTGTTTTCCTTTTCCCTTTCCATGACCTAATTGATATGTTAAGCAATGCTCTCCTCTGTAAAGAATTGTAAAACCTTACCTAATTGATATGTTAACCATTGTTGCCCTCTACATAACAGAAGTTGTGCTAAAACAAGCTAACAAGGGTTGTTGATCACTGTTAGGTGCCTCTATTCTCCGCTAAAGAGCTAAAGAAAACTAGGATGGCCCTCTAATTTACACTTGTTTGAAGTAACTTGCTTGTGTGCAGGGAGATTTGCTTATTAGCATAACCCTTTACCTGACCTTGATAACCCTCTCCAGAAAGAAAAAAAAACATAACCTCTGTTTTCTGTTCTGTATGGCACCTTATTGCCTCCCTCTCCCCTTACCTATCTATCTAGGCTAGGCCATAAAGATTTTGGGTTTCTGGTGGCCTCTTCCTGACCCAGTGGTGGTCTGTCGTAAAATGTGCCTCTGCTTCAGAGAAATTACAGGAAAATGTTTTGGCTTAACTCTAATGCACCAAAAGGGTTAAGTTCCAAATCCTTATGAAGGCTTAAGTTTCAGCTTCTTATAACTTTCGATCTTATTCCACCTGTTAGTGTTAATCAGCTGTCCTGAGATAATTAGCTTTCTAATTTCTTCTCCAAATGCTATTGCAGATAATTCTTATCTGCAGGATGGGAGTAACTCAAAATGTGCCAAAGGCTCCCAAGGTTGTCAGAACTAAGTGGACAGCTACACAGTTTCCAGATTCGGGTCAAAAAGTTTGATGGCTCCAAAGGTTTCTTTGTCCCCCCTGCCTTTTCCTCCAGCCTCTTTTTAAAGTCCTCCCTTCAGTCTCTGGTGCGCAGTCTCCAAATTGGCTCCCGGAGACTCGTCTCCAGGCCTGGAAATAAAGCCTTTGCTTCCCAATTTTCAGTCTCTTGTTTCCTTGGATTTTATACCGGGGTCTGAGTTATTACAATCCAAGACATCAGATCAGTTCACATCCTTGAAGAGTATCTCTCATAGATGAACACAAAGATATGAAAACTTTGACTCATTGCTTCTTTTCTCATACAAGAATGCTTGGAAAATGAAATATGCTGTGAAATGTTGGACATTTCTGTGATATCAGTATTCATGTCCAGAATAAAATCTTGGCAGTGCTCAAGGTGTTCTTAGTAGCTTGTAGTGATTTCTTTCAGTCTAAACTCTAGACCAAGGAGAGGATGAGTACAAGAGTGTGCTGGATCTCCATCATGTTACAGTCACTGGCTTTGTTTTTACTTTAGAATATACTTATGCACCTCTGTGAACACAGAAGCTATGTCTATTTTTCTACCTGCAGTCAGCTATATGTAAATGTTCAGTATTACCAGCACATCCTCAGAGTTCATGAAAAAAATTATTTTATGGAATAAATACACCAAATAACCAGCCAGAAAAGAGTCTGAATACTGGGCTAGAAAATAATTCTAACTTCAATTTTACTTTTCAAATTAATGCGGTTTTTTTTTGTTTTTTTTTTTTTTTGGATCTTCACAGCACAGTGTGGAAAGAACCATTCCTGTCTGCTGAGAATCCCTGAAAAACTGCAGAAAATACATGGTTTTGTCCTATGAATGGTTGCATACAAACAAATTTTCCGTAGGTATTGAATTCTTCAAATTCCTACACAGAAAGTAGAAATAAACCACTGAATATGTCCTGAACTTTACTTTGGACTTTTCCTTTTGGAATTGGTCAAAGGATTCAGCCTGAGAAAGTTAAGAAGTCAGAAAACCTAGATTTGAGAATTACCTGTGGGTAGAAGAATGAGTGATTGTGTGACTTTTGAGGCACAAACGCTGCCTTGCCTCTGGTTTCTGAAGAGGATGTCTGAGTCAAAGTAGAAAGGAGAAGTGATGAGGAAATCCATGAGGGAGTATCCCAGTCGGTTAGTACATCTCAGAATTTGCTGAGTAATCAGCAGGAAGTGAATGAGTCCAAAGGAGTCTTCCAATATAGACTTAGTACATTTATGTGCTACTGAGGGTTGCCTATAATACAAAGCACTTCTAGTACTAGTGCTCATGCAAATGACGATGATCAATGGAAAAATGTTCAGTATCCTATATTGTTGTTTCTACCATCAGTATAGAACCACCAAGTCCAAATGGGCCAGACAGACCTTTTCAGTGTCCAATCCATGGGGTGCGATTCACCTATATTCAGGACCTAAAACTGCACATGCTTATCCACTCAGAGTTTGACCATTTCAATGTCACCACTGGGGAAAAATTTCACCAGAGCTTACTCACTAAAGATGCATTGTTTGAAGTATAAAGTGATTTCCTGTATCAAACTGCTTAAAGCAATAGCAAGAAGAGGCCCTTGTTCATAATGATCTTGGAAAGCATTTTCTTAAAACAACTCCTCTATTCAAATGACTGTAGTGTCACAAGTCTCCTCCATCCAGAAGTGTGAAAGCACTTTCTCCTTTGGATCTCTTGCTGGGCTGGCAGGAAAGGAAGAAGAGAAGCCAGAGCAGGCAGAGACCAGAGCTTGAGCTGAAGCTACCACGATGATCCTCCACTACCGGCATTGTCTTCCATAACTAGCTGGCTGTTTTGTGGTTTGGCTTCTTTTTGTGGAAAATGTCTGTTTGATCTTTAACATTTAAATCTAATTTCATTATTTTAATGAAGAAAAGGTTGGACAAGGAATACCTTTTTTCTCTTTGCAAGCCCTGAAATTTATACTTTAGTTTTCATAACTGAGAGATTGTTTCTGCAAGGGCACAGAATCATGGTGTTGAAATAATAGAAATCATGAGACCCAGCAGAATCAGTTAACTTAAAATATGTACCACATTTTTTATTTCCATTACTATAGAGAGGCTAACAACCAATCATTAAGTAAAGAAGAAATTAGATGATTATTGATTGTCCTATGATGAAAGAGTATGTGACAAACAAATTATCAAGCAGAATTTGACTAAAAGCCTGAGTAAGGTTTACTCTTTGTGCAAGATGTTGTCAAGCCTTGATTTTTGAAATATTAGTGTTAAGCTATCTAAAAATCTGAATTCAGTACACAGATTAATATCTATTAATAGCTTTGTTTTCTCTAACATGATTTTTTAAATGAAAATTTAATGTCACATAGGCATTTGCTAAGCATTCCAGGTAAAACTCCAAAAGCAAAGAATCACCATCACTAAGACATCAGACTGGATATGAAACGACTAGGAATGAAAATTAAAAATACAAATCTCACCTTTATACAAGAAGGCAGCATAATGCATTTTTTATTTATTTGGAAAAATAGCACCAAACATAATGTAAATTGTGACAGTATGGTGGAATATTCTGGTAATTAGAATTTGTGAAGGAGGACTAAATATAACAACATTAGTTTAGTGGATAATTCCAAATATCAACAGCACATATAATAGGGTCTATATAAAGAAGTGTCTAAATGCAACATACCGCATATTTTATTTACTTGGAAAAATGCTACTAAACATAATAAAAATGTGTGAGAATAACATATAACATGGTTTTGTGATAATTATTCTGAGAAAGAATATAATAAAAATAGTCTAAGTAAACACCGGGAGGTCCTGAAAGTAGTCTTTATTATTTCTTGCAATACAAATACCTGAAGGAAATGGGTAAAATTAGTGAAATACTTATGATTTGGAGTAGGTCTTACATTACTATCTGATCTTCTATTATGCATAATCTATAGCTATATATATATGTGTGTGTGTGTGTGTGTGTGTGTGTGTGTCTGTGTGTGTCTGTGTGTGTGTGTGTATAAAAATATAATGGCTCAAGGTATTTATGATTTTTCTTATTGTGTGGAATTTTTCACATCAAGTTTTCCTATCATCGGCACTCATAATTCCACGCCTGCTTGAATCGATGGTGGAGTAGTAGACTCATCTAAAAATCAAGGTATCACTAGAGAATATGTTCAGGCAGACTTATTTAGGGGGAATTATAATACTTTCTGGGTCATTTAGGAATGTTAATTCTGCACTCTTCAGAACCAGCAGAGCCTCTCCAAGAAAGTTAACTTTCAGTCAATCTGAATTCTGTTCCAATCTTTGCCAAAGATCATGTTTATGACATGCTATCCTGTGTCTATGAGACTAAAATGTTAACTGATTCATCTGTAATTTGAGAAGCCCTTCATCTGTGGTGTCAAACATTTGGAGATTTATTCTGCAAAGGAGAGTTAGTAAATTCATCAATATCTTTCTTTTGGCGTGTAGATATGGAATATCCATGCATTACTCTGGTTAAAACTTTAGCACTTGACACAATAAATGAAAAAATATTAGTGATAACAAAGAGAGTACAATATAGAAATTGGGTAGAGAAAAAAATAGAGAATGTAAGCAAATATTTGCATATTTGTGCCATTCAAAAATAAATGGCAGTCTGTTTATTTGCTTGTTTAAACCTCTTGTTCTCGATTTGTACAGGTGTAAAATTCAGCTGGAGTGTTTTTTGAAACATATTTTTCTGTTCTTCATCCCCAGACATTATCACCAGTTAGCTGAAAAATGTGCCAAGATTTTTAAACCTACTCTGCTGCCAGGTGCTTCTTTTGCTTGTATAGAAAGCATTCATTTCATATTTTTGCCACATGTTTTCTGCATGATATACTATTGAAATGGAGCTTACAAACCAAACACCTGTCTTCAAATTCTTTCTTGTGGGACTGACAGATGATCCAAACCTACAGCCCCTCATCTTCAGCCTGTTCCTGTCTATCTACCTGATAACCATCTTGGGAAACCTGCTCATAATGCTGACGGTCAGCTCTGACTCCCTCCTCCACACACCCATGTACTTCTTCCTCTCCAACCTGTCGTTCACTGACATCTGTATAAGCACAACCACGATCCCAAAGATGTTGGTGAGCATCCAAACACAGAATCAGCGAATCACTTACACAGGCTGTGTCTCCCAGATTAGCTTTGTGTTGATTTTTGGTGGTTTGGAAAATTGTCTCCTTGCAGTGATGGCCTATGACCGCTATGTGGCCATTTGCCACCCTCTGACGTACACAGTCATCATGAACCTGCTACACTGTGTCTCGCTGGTTCTGCTCTCCCTGATCATGACTACTGTGAATGCTCTGCCTCACAGTCTGATGGTGCTGCGGCTGTCCTTCTGCACAGACCTGGAAATCTCCCACTTCTTCTGCGAGCTTGCTCAGGTCATAAAACTCTCTTGCTCTGACACCCTCATTAATTTTCTCCTGATGAATTTAGGGACTAGCATATTTGCTGGGATTTCTTTATGTGGGATTATTTTTTCTTATACTCAAATTATCTCTTCTATTCTGAGGATTCCTTCTGTGAGTGGAAGATATAAAGCCTTTTCCACCTGTGGGTCTCACTTCTTAGTCGTGTCTTTATTCTATGGGACAGGTTTAGGTGTGTATTTGAGTTCTGCAGTTAAAGGCTCTTCCGTTAAGAATATAGTGTCTTCAATGATGTACATTGTGATTCCTCAAATGCTGAACCCCTTTATCTACAGTTTGAGGAATAAGGAAATGAGGGAATCCTTGACACATCTCCTCACTGGTAAACCTTCTTTACTGTGATTATGTCAACTACTTGTAGCTTGAGTTTCTAATATCACCTAAAATGACAGAAATAGTGATGAATAAGAATTCTGATTCTCCATCAGTATATTTCTTTAAAAATGACTGCATAATGGGAAGTCTAAATACATTTCAACACAGACTACAAATTCACTCTGCCCTTTTTGTACTGGAAATCAAACTCACAACCTCATGCTTTCCAGGTATAAGCACCTGTGCCACTGAGCTAAATCCTCACTCCCTCGTTCTTTTTTATCCTTTTCATTTTCAAGCTGTTTGTTCCTGCCTCACTTCATCCTTCATTTTGACACACTTTACCACTTTCAAAAAGTTTTCTTATTTTCTATCTCTCCATTATTACACTCACTCATCCATTTATTTATATTTTTGAATTCTTGTGAAGAAGAAACTATAAAATATTTAATTTTCCATGTCTGACTTGTTTCAATTAGTACTATGTTGTCAAATTTCATGTATTTCCTCCAACTTATGTGATTTTATTATTCTTTGTGATAAAATAATGTTCTATTGTGTGAATATACCACATTACCTTTATTCACCCATCTATCTTATATGGACAAATGTATAAAACACTTCCATTTAGAAACTCATTGCACTAATCCAATTTCTCTTTCTGCATAAGCATATTTACAACAGCCCAAGTCACAGCTAACAGCTCAGATGCCAATCAACAGATTAATTGAATGCATTATCACTGTTTTATATGTGATTTAACGTTATTTCATATTTTCTTCTTGAATGTAATGTTTAAAGCCAGTGAATTAGTTCTGTATCTATATTATTTTCATCATTGAACTGCAGAGATTGCATCATATTTTGAAGTTTAGCGGCAATATATTTCATTCATTGTCATTCATTCAGTTTCAATATTCATCACTCTGTCTCACTGTCACTCTTGCTTTTGCTTGCCCTATGTCTCTCATGTTTTTTCCACATTATTGAAGACTGACCACAGGGCTTTTGCATGGTACAGAAGAGCCCTACTGCTGAGGTATATCCCTTACTCACTTTCTATTCTCACTTGTGTAGTGATAATAAGAACTAGGCAGAGTTTCTGACATTTAGATAATCTGGTACTTGCTTTTCTACCACTGGGAATAAGCCTAAGAGTATATTAAATATCACATTATGATGATAATGAAAACTATATCTTGATATAGATTAATTGAAGCTAGACAGCTAAGAAATTTGACAAATTCAAGTAAATTTCCTCCATGAAGCTAGAGAGCTAAGAAATTTGGTAAATACAAGTTATTTTCTTCAAACATGTATTGTGTTCAGTGTGAATTCACTGATTTCCCATTTGTATATATTAGAAGTTTTTATTTCCTTATGTCTTACAGCCATTGGCATGTGCAGGCCTACTTAGTTAAATGTCTGTTCTCTCTTTTTGCAGTCTCCTTCATCTTGCCATTTGATTTTGTCTTTCTCATCTTAGATTAACTTACAGCATATTAGCCAGTTGTTACTTTTATTTTTATTCAGGGTTTTTCAAATTTCCTCATTCCATTTTTTTAAAAAATAGAGGAATGATGTGACATTTATGTAATTGTAAAGATTACCAATGAAAGTAACAAATATAATACATAAGTGTTCTAAAAGCACATTTCCTGGGTCCTCTTGTTATGGTCTCATGTGCTCCAAGAATGAAGAACTTGAATTCTAAGCCATATATCTCTGCCTACACAGGTAGATATTTTCAGAAGGGAAATGGAGGGATCATGATGACATCCCTGTATTTCTATTATGGTACAACTCACCGATCATCTCAAGAGGTGCCCTAAGGTGAAATGTAAAATCTGGTGCTTTTAAATGTACATAAATTAATTCTAAATATAAATTTAAAAAAGAACCTTGCCAGCTCTTTCAGCCTAATATTGCTACAGCCTCATCCTCTGTGTCTTTAGAAGCAAAAGTTTTCCTAGCAACATTTATGCACACTTTGATTTCTTTCCCATGTTTTTCTGAGGTCCATCCAAACATACTCAGGTTTGACTACTCACTTGCAGGTACAGTTGCCCTCACAAATCAGTATTGTAGTATTTACTGCTGACTACAGTTTATTGAATTCTGTTTCTTGGCAATACACACAAAATTGCAGATCCATATCAAAGCCAACAATCATCTTTGTTAAGTTTTCCATTCAAGACTTTTCTTAAACATTAAAGTGTTCAAATTCACAGTCCTGGGTGTAGGTAATAGTCAACGTTTGAATGAAGTTATATTTCTAAAGTTCATAAAATGTACAAATATGAAAATATAGATTTAATTAATTCCAGTTATAAATATCAACTCTAAATGTTTTAATCTCTACAATTTAAAATGTATAGCTATGAAAATATTAGAAGCACTAAATTCTTCAGCACATTGTCCTGGGCAATGATTTTTAGATGATTCGCCAAAAAGTAGAATATACAAAACCAAAAACTGATGTATTAGACTATATCAAATTTAAAAGTTTCTAAATGGAGAAGAAAATAAACACTACAACTTACAGACAGTTCATACCATGGGAAGTAATAAGTGCCAGCTACACATCTGACAGAGGGCTAATTCAGGATGTATAATAGTGCAAATCACAGGAATAAAAATTTTATTTAAAATGAGTTAAAGTACATAAAGAAGGATAAAGTTGAGACATTTCTATCAAAACAGATACAACTTGAGACCACACTGTTAAGTGAAATAAATCTGACACATAAGGAGGATTTGACATGTCTCAATAGAGGAGGAGCCACATTGGAGCTACTCAGAGAAAATCAACTAAAACTACAGGTAATAAACAGACCAGCAAAATGTATGAAGAAGCAAAGTACAACAATATGGGGTCTTCAGTAAACAGATTTAACTGAAAAACAAATTTGTAGACTAAAAGTCAAACATGAAAATCAATACTCCCTGTGACAGCAATGTAGTAAAAAGCAGTGGCACATGTTCTATTTGCAGACAATGTAAACTTAAATCCAAGACTGATCAAAAGAGAAAGAGGTCACTGTGTACTTTTTAAGGTAAAACTCTTAGATGAAGAGATAAAAACTATATATATATATACCTCAAAAGTGAGTGTGCCTGACTACATAAATATATTAATAGACATAAAAAAGCAACCAATTGTCATATGGGACTTTAATGTCCAACTTTCAGAAATAGGAAGATAATTGAAACAAAGAAATTAGTAAAGAAATATTAGAAGCAAAGAAAACCTGTGAAGAAATTTTCTTAGCAATTTTCTACAGAATCTTCCAACCACAACATCATAATATACTTTCTTCTCAATTCTCACTGAACATTCTCAAAAGTAGGCCATGTAAAGGCCACATTATATCCTTAAGTAAATGCAAAGGAATTGAAATTATCTAATTTGTATTATCAGAGCATAGTTCAAAAAAATAAAAATCAATATTAAAAGAAACTACTGAAATTACATAAGGAACTAGAAATTAAAGAACATCCTCCTGAACATCCAATGGCTCACAGATCAAATGTTCTTTCTACAATTAAATGAAAATGCCAATACATGCTATATGAATTTATGGGATGCAATGAAAGAAGTGAAGGATGCTCCCATCAGGAAAACAGAATGAATTCAAATAACAACTTAATGTTGAATCTCAAACTTCTAAGCAAAAAACATACCAAACCCAAAGCTTGTACAAGCAAAGATATTATAAAAATTGCTGCACAAATTGAGTTGGAGACTAGAAAAGCAATGCAAAGAATTAATGATCAAAGAGTTGGTTCTTCGAAGGGCTAAGTACATCTGATAAATGCTTAGCTTATCTCATCCAAAAAGTAAAGACTCAAATTCAAATAATTAGAAATATAAACAAAACAGATAATGCAGGAATCCAGAGGATCATCTTTACCTTCTTGGAAAATATGTACTCTAATAAGTTGGAAAACACACAATAATTGACAATGAATTACCACTAGAAGAAGATATATGGATTCTAAAACCCACTATTTGTCAGTGAAACTGAAAATGTATTTTAAAACGTACTGAACAAATAAAAGCCAATGTCCTGATGGGTTCACTGCTGAATTCCACAGGAAATTTAGAGAAGATCTAAAGCCACCAGTGCTGAAACACTTTAATGAAATTGAAAGGGTAACAATACTTCCAAAATCATTCTTGAAAGCAAGTATTACCTTAGTAACTAAACCAGCGATAGATTCAACAAAAAAAAATAAAACTATACCCTAATGAACATAGGCACAAAAATTCTCAGTAACAGCTATCATGCCAGGAAGCATCCAGTGATGGATTCCTTTCCCCTGTATTGTGGGACTTGGCAACCAGCCCAAGAAGAATTCAGAAGACTGGTTCCTCCCTCACACATTGATGAGACCACATGACCAGGGGAAGGTCAGCCACAGGTTAGGACCCGGAATATGGTGCACAGCATGCAGATGCAGTACAAGTGGGTTGAAAAAGTCTGAAGCAACATTAACAATTGAACCATCCGGTGGTAAGTTAGATGAACCACCTTTGTGCTTGGAGACAAAGACACACAGGATAAAAGCAGGTGGGTGGACACTCCTTTTTAAACATATTTCCTTTTCTTTTTTTTTTTTTTTCTATTTTGACTCCTCAATACAAACACTCAAGAAGCACTTGGAGTGAAGTATTTCAAACCCTTAAAAAATAACTTCCAACTTAAATTGATGTACACTGAAAAACTACCTTTCACAATTGATGGAGAAAAAAGATACTTCCCTAACAAAGAATTACAAAAAAAGTTTATGACCACCAAACCAACCCTCAAATAACTACTGCAAGATATCCTGGGAAGACATTTTTAAAAATCACAATTCCAAGAACATCAACAGAAATAAATTACCAGTCAGGGTAAAACATTAAATAAAGGGAAATCCCAGGTAGCCAACAGCAGGAATGTAATATGGCAAAGATAAGTGAATACGTGTCAATATTAGCATCAATGAAAACGGCCTCAATTCACCAATGAAAAGAAACAGATTTGCAGAATACATCAAGAAAAAAGATCCAACAATATGTTGAGTACCAGAAACGCATTTAACTAAAAGAGAAACTCATAGGCTGAAAGACAAAGGTTGGGAAACAATGATCTATGCAATACTCTATGCAACAGGAGCCCAGTAAACCATTCAGGTGTAGCTATTGTGGTTGTGAACAATGTGAAATTCAAACCAAGAATGATAAAAAGAGATCAAGAAGGTCGCTATAAATGTTAGAGATAAATTTCAAGAGGAAATTATAGCAATCATAACTATATCTACACTAAATACAGAAGCACAAAATTATATGAGAAATATTAATAGAAGTGATAACATCAGACAAGCAATAACACCATTGTAGATAGATCAGCTAGACAAAAAGCAGCAAAGAAATATCAAAACTAAGTCAAACTTGTGAACAAATGGACTAGGAGATGTTTACACATCGTTCCACTTAACAATGCAGGACTACACATTCTTCTCAGCTGCAATTTGGAGTTTTCCTAAACTAGACCAAATTGTAACCCACAGCACATGCTTAAGTAAATGAAAATGCAAAATTTCCATTTCCCTATGCATATTGTCTGACCATAGTGCAATGCAATTGGAAATTAATGTCAAAAGAAAACTACACAAATGTGTAGAAATTAAGTAGCATTGTCCTACACAATCAGTGGAACATAGATACTATTAGAGAAGAAATTAAACAATATTTACCATTAAAGGGAAATGTAGATAAAAGCTGTGGAATTCAATGAAAGCATTACAAAGAGGGAAATTTTTAAGGTGAGTGCTCACATCAAGATAAAGAATGAGCATGAATAAACAAACTAATGTTATACTTCAAGTTTCTAGAAAAGAAAGAGCAAGTTATATCCATAGCCCTACAAGGGAGGGAAATATAAAGATCAGAGCAATAATTAACACAAATGAGGTTAAAAACAAAAAGAATTAATGAGTTAAAGAGTTGATTCTTTGAAAGAATAAATCAAATTGGTAGACACTTAGAAACCTTAAAAAAAGAGGAAAGAAAAAGTCTAATTTATGCAATGAGGAATGAAAAGGTGAAGTAACTATAGGCCCTGTGCACATTCAGATTCCCTATTTCAAAAATCTTGAGTCTTGCTGGAACTTGGAGGACTATAAAAGAAAGCAACGAGTCCTCCCTCCTGGTAAGGTGGCACGAGTGAGCAGCAGATGCACCAGGAAGAGAATAAGTCAGCGTCTTTGAGATCCAGCCATGTTGGAATTTGGAGGGATGAACAGGAAAGCAGCAAGCCCTCCTTCTTGTAGGCAGTGGCACAAGTGAGCAGTGGGTGCACCAGAATCACAGCCTACTGGTGCACAGGCTGAGAATCTACTGTCCCATTCCCGCCCCCTTTAGTAACTGGATGGTGTCCAGGACAGCCAGAGTTGATAGCAACTAAAGCACATAAGGCACCTAAATGCTAGTATTGTTGAGCTGATTTCGCTGACCTCAGACCAGAGATGCACTGTGCATGTTAGAAATTGTCTCCTATGTCTGGGCTCCTGGGACTCCTCTGGTAGCATAGCTCCCTCC